TGAACTAAATGTAAATTTATGATTACAATAAACATTTAACATGCAAACATCACAATTTAAACAAACATATATTTCACAAACTTGTGCTTTCAAAAAATAACTAAGGGGCCATCCATAAAGGATGTCATCCAAATAGGGGGAAGGGGGTCAAGTTAAAAAGAACAAAAAGGACAAGGGAAGGGGGGGGGGGAGGTTTTCAGAAAAGGACGTCACTTTATAGATTTTTTATTTTAGTTTAATTAATATGGAAAACTACGTAAACATGTGTTTTTGAGAAGCCACACTGGTGCCCAATGCGACCGCCTAATTTGCATGGCCTTTGCGCCAGCTTTAAAGATAACTCATCTTTGTATCTGTTGCTTTTACTCTTATTTTAGATGAGTTAGTTGTAACTTTGATGCGTCAAATTACTTTTTTAATCATATCTTGTATTGTAAACAGTAATTGTTTTAAATAGTAATCTAGAATAATAATATATCTAGAATTTTTATCAAAATTTGAAATGGTTTCTATTCTAGCGTTAGTAAACCTCTGTTAACAAGACAAAACTGGTAAGGAGGTTGGACCTAAACCTTTTACAAGCATAGCAATATTATATGTGAATGTAAATAAATAATATTTGTAAATTTTTAAATAAATTGACCAATTAAAAAGAATTGTTGTAACAACTTGATTTGCAATATTAGATGCTTTTTTTATTATTTATTATTCACTGTTGTAACTGTAAACAAAAATGAAACTGAAATTCTCTCCCTAAAAGATCCCTTTTCAGTTAAAAGTTACTTATGATCAACATTATTGTGTAAAAATTATAACTATCTTCATCAAGAGCTTTGATTACGGATTACTTGATAAAAACTCTTTGTCTGATAAAACAAAAAAACCAAAATTAAACAAATTATCCATAAATCATTTTGAAGCTAATAATTTATCAGCTTCTATTCCGAAAATTATATGGGCAAATATTGATCTTGGTCTAGTTACTTGTGCAATGTATTGCCCAATTACAATTAATTTTATATCTGCAGATGTGAGATGACCATTTGATATGATCTACACATTATGTTGCATTTTAAATCTTTGGAGTTGAAGAAATAAACTAATTGAAGTTGTAAATTAAATTTTTAATTTGTTGAGATAAAATGGTGATATTTTTTTACTATGAATAACGTTTGATATACCTGCCAGTTCTTCAAAATATATCTTTTTTTTGTGATGCTTTTTTATTTTTATTTTAAGATGCCATTGTGTAACGAGGTCGCACCCACTTAGCTTTAACATTTTACGATAAACTTCTCCTAATGTATAATGTTGTCTTTTGTCTCACCGCTGATAAATGCGCTTTCTTCGTCACCACCTGGATCTAAGAAAATGTAGATGCTTTTATTTCTACTCCGTGGTTTTTACCTTGCGCAGCTTCAATATCTTTTTTTTTTTCTTTGTTACAAGAAAAACTTTTACAAACACAAAAGCGTGGTTCTTGTATCTTTTTTTTATTACAGAAAAAAATCAAAGTAAAAAGATGCTGTATGATGCTCCAGTTAATAACTCTCATTTTTATAAATCTTGTATCTTTTCTTAGAAGATTGGCTCTAGATTCACGGATATCTAAATCACTCTGGCTTCCATTGTTAAAGTAGTTTCTCAATTAAACTCTTTTACGGCTCGTGGTCCAGACAACACACCTGCCATCTTCTTTCAAAAGTGTTCTACATATCTCTCCATAACAATAATTTTGACCATCTTCTGATTAGTAATCTCTCGATTATTCATATAGTGTATCTGGGAAAGATTTTAAGATTATTAAATCTTTTCGTTCAAACTGCAGTAGACTTCCTAGAATGTCAGCACTCCTTCTCATTCACTGTACTTTCTGGCGTACCACAAGGTTTAATTTGGGTACCACATTAATAATCTTTCTAACAATCTAACGTCTAGAGTCTAATTGCTGACAACTTTACTTTAAACCCCTGTCTTGGCAAAAAGTCTTATTTTTTTGATTGGTTAAACATGCAGCCGATTTTAAATCTAATCTCACTTTTGTAACAACTTGAGACTAGCATTGGCTTGTGAATTTTAACTCTAATAAAACTCAGTTACTTGCAAACAACTTTCACAATATTTTTAATATTCATGTTTTGATAAACAGCAACTCTCTCTCTCCCTGGGTTCTCTTTTTTTACGTCTGTCTCCTTTACGGATTATCATCCCCAACTCTCTCATAAATATGCAAAGTTAGCATCTGCTTAGGTTGCTTCTTTTTATCGACATTATTTTGCTCTTTATTACATTCTCTATCTCTATCCATCTCTGTATGAAATAATTCTGTCATATTTTGACTGGTTTTTTCAATGATGCTCTTTCTCTTCCAGACAAGGTCTGAAAATGCATTAAAAATGCAGTTGAATCTGCAACACAATGCTTAATAATACGTGCTTGTTTGGCCTTAGCAACATCCAAATAATACGACGTTGTTAATTCTCTTGCTGCTCTATCTTAGAACTAGAGCAACCATGGCGCAGTGGCCTCAGAAACAAAGGATTCGTGGTTCAAACCCCACCTCTGGGCAAGTTTTGCGACATCGGTTAGGAAGGAGGCGTAAACTCACGATTAAATGCTCATCCACGATGCTCTTTGATAAAACCGTAAGGACTTCTTGGGGGCACCTAAATAAAATTAAAAAAATAAATAAAAAACAAGTCAGCTTTTCTTCATTTAAAAATATTTCCATGATTCTAAATGCAGTTCCATTATCGTAAAAAACTCCCCAAGGATACCATAACCTGCCTATCTTTTCACAGCTTGCTAATTTTGTCTTTTGGAAATGACTTTTCTGAATTTTAAAAAAACCAATGCTTCGCATCATTGCATAATTCCTTACTTTGCCATCCAAGTTTTTGCTAACTTGTGTAAAACTCGACTACACCTCAGTCACCTATGTGTTGTAGTATATTTTCTACTTTTTTAGAAAACTATCTTTCAATAATAAACATCTAAGTGTTTTGAAAATTGTCAAGGTATAGTTTGCTTTCTTAGTGTGAGCCGTTTTCTATCTTTGTGTGAACGATAATATCTCAAAACAAGGAGGTAAGTTGGTAGAAAGTGTCAAAAGATTGTTGTGGAGTTTCATCAGATTTTTTATACTTATGAAACACACAATGTGTAGCCTTCTATATAATTGCTATTAAATAAATACTTCAAAGTTTGTCAAGGTTGGCATGCTCACCGTCGTGCTTGTATAAACTTTTTCAAAGCCCCAGCTTGATTCTGTAAGCTGCGCGCTTCCAGGGCTCACCGATTTCTCGCTTGGCTACCGAAAAACAAATCAAAAACCATGTTGTCAGCTTTGTGAACTCGTCAACCTCGTACTACAAGATTAATATCGCTACTATAAAAGATGCTATAAGAAAATATTAGACGGATTCTGGGCAATTTAATTCAACTTAACAAGGTATTTCATGGAATTGAAAAAGTAAATTTAACCAAGGAGATTTTGCAAAAAAGAAATAAATCAGCAAAGGGTCAAAAAATGAAATATAATCACAAAATACACGATTTTTTTTGTATAAGCAACTCGTTTATAAGCAACTGAACTCGATGTGAAAAAATATTAAGCAACTTCAGTTCTCAACAAATGTTAACATAAGCAACTCATAAATTGCAATTTTTTCCTCTGCAATGTAATGACTTCTTTAATATAAACGATTTCAAAAGAAAGTAATCACAGTAGTGTTGACTTCTTTTAGATAAACGACTTCAAAAGAAAGTAATTACAGTAGTTGTTGTGTATGTTGTTGACAACGCTGTTAAGATCATGAGTAAGAGAAAGCAGACAAATTTTTTCAACTTTGGTTTTACCAAAAAGATTTGTCATCGTGGTGAGTTGGTAAATGTAGTGCCAAAGGAAAAAGAAGATAACTTGTTTGAATGTATTGTTTGCAAAAGCAACCATTAACATAACCAACCAAGCTAAGAAACTTAAGCAACCATTAAGCAACTCGAGATATAGAAATTGGCTGAAAAATAAGCAACTCGAGTTCTGACCAAAATTCTAAGTTGCTTATACAAAAAAAGTCGTGTAACATATTTTGCCTGGACATTATTTTTTGAAAAACTAAACATCCCAATATTGGAATCGGCTCTTTTGACAAATGAATTTTAAATGTCGTAACTATGTGAAATAATGATACCGCTGTCTTAGAGTATTTTATACACTCTCCGAAATAACTGTTTTTTTCATTACGCTGCAGTTTTTTTGCAGATAAAAAAAAAACTTTTTAGATTTATTTAAATTTTTTTCTTTATTTTTTCTGTTAAAAAAAACAACAACTATTTTTTATGTTTGTTTCATATGTTTTTGTTTTGTTTTGTTTTTTATCGGAAAAAATAACGAAACTTGATAGTTGCGCTCTGTTAAATTTTTGCTTAAGGATCATCCATAATTTACGCAATGCTAAATTTATTTAAAATATAAAATTTTCTATAAACTTAATGCGCTATTTTGATTTTTGAATTACTTTTGAAGGCTCTACGAGGGAAACTTCTGATCATTCTTGTTTTGTTAATTAGTGAAATTTAGCGTTGGGTAATTTATGGAAGATCCCTTACGGGACAATTCCTTTAGGGGCTCCCCTCTTGCTACGTCACTGTCTTTTTAATGGTGTATTTAAAAAGTATTATTAACAAAATCAATCTTTTCTTGATGTCCCATATTTTGTCCAACTTTGTTTCCCTTGACTCAAATAACACGGCTGATTTTTTAGCAATTCTTGATATAACTCTTGGATTTCTGCGCTACATTTTATTTTTATTTAAATTTTTTACGAGTTATTTCTTATTTCTATAGTACTATTAAAGCTTTATCTAGTTCTTTATATTATAACAAATAATAAATAAAAGAATCGATTACCTTCAATGAATTTAGAAAGTAGAAAAAATAATTTAAAAATTGTTTTTTAAAAATTTCGTTTACCGTCAACATATCCATGACAATTTTTCAAAATTATTTTTTACTGCTATAAACAAGAAGCAGTTAACGAAAATGAATGTGATTCATCCTTCTCACCAAAAAGTGAAATACTTGTGGTTTTTTTATGACTTTATTGAAAAAACATTTATTTAAAATTTCTTGTTGTCTTATTTTCCGTCTTCAAAATATCTTCTAAATGAGTAAGCAAAATCTTTCTGGTAATGTTTATGAAATATCAAAGTCACATGTTAGAGACAAAGAAATCAACATCGCTGAGAGCTTTGCATCACACCTTTTAGAATGTATACCTTATTTTAATTATTATTTTTATAGCAAAATATATTTTCATTATATAATATTAGTTTTCTATTAATAAATAACTTATATGATGTAATAAGTATTTGTAACTGTAATAGTATAATTAAAAATCCATAAAATATCAAAGCATAAAATCATGCGACAGTTTCTCTTCTCCATAAAAATCATTTAATTCTATTGATAACTGGGTTAAAAAATTTGGGGATGTTATCATTATTACTGTTCATTTAAAAGTTCTATTAGTTCAGCTAATAATATCGGTAATATTTTTATTATTGTTATTAATACAACTACAATAATAACAACAACATCAATAATAATAATAATAATAATAATAATAATAATAATAATAATAATAATAATAATAATAATAATAATAATAATAATAATAATAATAATAATAATAATAGTAATAATAATAATAATAATAATAGCAATAATAACAATAATAATAATAATAATAATAATAATAATAATAATAATAATAATAATAATAGCAATAATAATAATAGCAATAATAATAGTAATAATAATAATAATTATTATTATTACTATTATTATTGTTATTATTATCTTTATTGTAAAGTTGTAGGTGCAGTTGTTAATATTGATATTGTTAACTTTATTGTAATTTTTAGGTTTTTACTTTAAATTAGTGCTTGTACTATTAATAGTCCTTGTAACTTTACAATTTATTTCATTAAATTTGAATTTAAAAGCTTGATTAAAATGTTTATTATCAAAGTAGGGTTTTAAAATTCTAAATTAAAATTTTGAAACACATCAAATAACATTCAACTAATTGTTGTTATTCTTAAAATGGTTTTTATAATTAAAAAAAAAGTTTAAAATAAATGTGTTTTAAGTTTAATGACTTTTTTGAGATTATAAAACTACTGTTTCCTTTTAATTACGAGAAATTAATTAATAATTATTTTTATATAATTGTTTGAGCATTTTTAATTACAGACAGTTAATAAAATGTTATTTAAATTCATAATAAGAATTCGAGAATATTTTTTTACAATTATAGTGTGAAGTAAGCTCTCAATAAGATCTTTTCAGAATTTCAAAAAGCTTAAATTTTGTAATAATAGAAATAGAATGTTTTTTAAAACAATTTTTTAAATTAAAACTTCAATATAGTGTTATTCAACAACTAGTTAAGAACATATTCATAATCATAGTCATCCAAAGAAGATAAGGGGAGGTGCAACTTCTTCCCTAACCCTCCTCCACTCCAAGCCCCACTGGATTTGGAAAACAACAACAACAACAAATATACTAAGTTACAAAAATTATAAATAAAATAAATGTAATTTATTTTATTTAAATTTTAAAAATAAAATTATTGTAAATAATAAATGTAAATAAAATTACAACAACATTATTTTAAACGCTTATTTTTTCAACATATTTTTGTAACAAACTTCATAAATCTGATTTTTATATCAAGTTCACTTTCATCATCAGCAATCTTATTCCACCTAACTTCATAAAAGCATACAATATATTGCATGTTTTTTAAAATATTATTTATAATGTTTAATGAAATCTCTGTGTCTTAGTGTTTTGAAAAAATATCAAATGCTTCAGTATGTGTACAAACGCATATTTTTTTTATAACATTCTATTTGAACTAATAGGAATAAAATTATGATGCAACCTTATGCCAGAAACTGTTCTACCATCTAAATATCTTTTTTCTAAATGCTCAAGACAATTTCTTCCTTTGAAAATAACTTTAAACAAATTATTATTATTATTAATTATTAAATTATTATTAATTATTTTAGCTTTACACAAAGATTACATTGACATCCAAATTCTGCCCATTAGTTACTTTTAGACTTTCTGGACAAACTACTCTTATAAACAGCTCCATCAATACCATCACAGAGGGATTTACCATGGCTGGTAGCAACGAGTATTCATTCAGCATTTAAATCAAAGTCTGTGACTTGATTTAAATGCTGAATGCATACTCCTTGCTACTGTGATGACAAAGATTGATTAAAATTTTTAGATTGTGCTGCACAGTCATTAGAAAAATACTTCATACATGATACATCAAGTAGATTTTCTTTAATATATTTAGTTATATCTTTGTGAATCTGATAAACAAACCCTGTGATGTGGTCAACATTTTCTGACAGATATCAAAAGGTTTTTGTTTGAGAAATATTTTCTCTTGAAAATAAATTACAATTTGTAAAAAGTGAACACTAACTTTTTCTTCAGTGATAACTTTGAACTTGATCATGGACAACCAAATTAATAATTTTCAGCAAAATATCCTAAAATTAAGCATTTGTTTTGGTTAGATTTTCTTTAAAGTTTTTCAAGTATACACTTTGCATTTTTTGTTATAAATGAATGTGTGTTAAGGTTGTCAATGCTGTCACTTAAGAAATCATTAGAGTCATTTAGTGGCAATAATTGCACAGTAGTGTACAGCGAATACACAATCATACAGCCAATACTCTACTATCATTTAAATACTACATCTTTTTCTAGCTCATGATCTATAAACTCTAAACTAAACATTTTTTATTGTTTGAATACCTTATATCGATGCAGCATACACTCTGCGTTTTCAAGAAAATAAACAATTAAAGTCATAAAATTTTTATAACTTTTATTCCACCTAATTGCATCAATTAAAATTTTTGTATTTTGATGATCAATGCATACACATACATTGTGAGTACATGATGTATTAGTTATAATGCACCACTTACATTACAACTAACATCTTTTTTTCCTGGCATCCTTCTTGGAAACTCATCTTTTTGATCAAAGTTAATCACTAATTTGATTGTTTCTGGTGAAACAGGGTTTCCAATTTTTTTTCTTGTCATTGATAGAATCCCTTGCTCATTTTTAACATGACCTGAAGTTTGAACAAGATACTCGGACACTAATTGGATATCTTTTTATGTGTCTATGATTTTGGTGCTAGCCATAAAGTATTAACATTTGCACTTAATGGCAATAAGAGTCCTTTACATAATTTTTTTTTTAGATTTCATAAATTAAAATGTTTAGATCAAACTTTTGTTTTACTGCAGGTATTTTGCTGTTTTTCTGAAAACTTTTCAATTTGACTGGTGAAATCCTAAGCAATTCTACAGAGATTTCAAACTTAACTTGTTCCCTCTTTTTGATGTCAGAGATGTCAAATTTAACTTGTTCCCTCTTTTTAATACTCATTGCAAACTAAAATCTTTATCAGTTTCTACTGCTTTTTTATAACATTTAATGCAACCTGGCGTTACATATTTTTTTTGTAAAACCTTTGTCCATTATACAGAAATCTTTACATTGCCTTAAGAAAACAAATTTAAATAAATTTTAAGTTTAACTGAAAATTTGAATAACTTATTTTTATTATATGAATCTTGATAAGGTATATTTCATTTAATTAATATACTAGTTCTGCTGTAACTAATAATAACTATGTAATAAATGATAGATTATTACATAGCTATTAATAACTATGTAATAACTTTTTTTACTTTCCTTGTGTGTTCCAAAAGGGTCGCAGCACTAAGTAATTTTTCATTTAATATATTTTTCATAGAATTGCTAATATTAAGAGCATATAATTCTAATTTTAAACTTTTTCTTTGCTGTTCACAAGAAAGATTGAGTTGAATAAAACCTTGTTTTCTAGAAAACACAGTTTTATGAAAATGAATGTTGAGAATTTCTCAAATGTCAAATTTCTCCATATTTTTTTATTTTCGCTTTTCAGATGCCCAGCAATCTGTCCTAATTTTTTAATAGACCTAAGATAAAGTAATGATATACAATTAACATTTTCCCTAGGGATTAAGTCTACCTTGTAATTTACTTTTTTTCATGTTTGCAGAATAATTAAATAAATTTTATACATAAAAGTTCTATTTACAATAACTGTTGTTTTTTTAACTTTCTTAAATATTTAGATCATCAAATAAGCTATGCAGACATAAGTAAACATTCTGATAAAAATGTGCGCATCTTGAATGGAAAGCAAAAAATCAATGTTGTACCTTTAAAATCACTTCGTTGGCAAAATAGAAGCAAAACAAGAACTTTAAATGAAAATTCATCTGATGAGGATAATGATGGTGATGATGAAGGTTAAGTATTGTATTTAATGTGTCTAATTTTGTGTTATTTATTTTTAAAAGTAAAACTTTAAAAATGTTCACTATGAATTTAAAAAGTTTAAGTAATGAAAATGATACAGTTACTAACATGTTTTATAATTAAACAAGTTGTGAACATAGTATAGTTACAATATATTTTTATTATACTAGAGTTAATATATATTTTAAAATTAACACAGTCTTATATTAAAATCTATTTAATTTATTATAAAAATATTTTTAGTGTTAATATAGTTTATATAAAATGTCTGATATATATACTTTAAAGAGTAAAAGATATTTTATATATATATATATATATATATATATATATATATATATATATATATATATATATATATATATATATATATATATATATATATATATGACAGGTAATTATTATTAAAATTAATTTACAGTTTAAAAATTTTCAAAGTGGAGATGGTAAATAATCTCTATAATGGTAGATCATCAAAATAAATCTAAGGTAGAGATTTAAAAAAATAATGAATGAAAAGTAACTACACAAAATTACTTTAACATAAAAATTTTAACATTTTCAAAGTAAAAAAAAGACTTATTGATCAAATAGTTTTTATAGGAAGAAAATAAAAAAATCTGTTTTTTAATAAATAAACAAAAAAAAAATTGCAAAATCAACAATAAAAAAACATCACAAAAGAAAAATCTCAGGAAAGCATATTGTGAACAAGATAATATAATAAATAGAATAAGAGTAAAGTATTTTTAGTTAATTACAAATCAATGATGTTATTTGTAATTTGACATTGAACAAGATTTAATAACCATTGAGTATCTTTGAAATTCATTTGCAATCAAGTGTGTAGTTGGGTCTTTCACTGTTAAAAACCTTATTTTTAAATGAGTTTAAATAAAAGATGAATGAGTCTAACATGAGTTATCTATCAAACATTTCTTAAATCATTTTTTATAACTAGATTTTTTTTATGTTTAAGGATGTTAATAGAGATTTAGATTGGCATGACACAAATATAATAATGCTAGTAGACTATATTACTGTTGTGTCATTCTAAGTTAAATAAATCAATTTTATAATTACTATTAATAAAAAAAATTATAAATGATTTTGACTTAAATCCAGACAGAGAAAATTAGCAGAATATATATATATTTTTTGTCTTTGCTTTAATAAACATCCTCTGTACATATATAATGCCTGGCCGTACCTAAACTCTTAGTTGATATATGTGCTAAAGTTATCACTGATGGCTACTTATATGTATGTATTATAAGTATCATGCCATCACTTATCATTTTATGTCCAGCCAAATCTGCAATTATTGATATAAGTTTATATAAGTTTATTTGTATATATATATATATATATATATATATATATATATATATATATATATATATATATATATATATATATATATATATATATATATATATATATATATATATATATATATATATATATATATATATATATAAAGCAAATAGCATGTATAATTATTTATAAATCCCTGAATAAAAATAAAATTAAGCTTAGGAAGTTGATACAGAGTGTAAATTTTTTTTAGAATATATATTTATGCATTAAATATGTTAAACTAGTTTTCTCTAAAAAATTCTGTATAATAATTTTAAATTTCAAATTTTGTTTTAGTTTTGAATTTTAATGTTTAATTTTTAAATAAAAATTCGATTCATATTTATAAATAAATTTATAAAACCAAATATAAAAAAGCGATTCATCAGTGACATTTCTTAGATACTATGAAGAATACCTATATATTATTTATTAGCTTCATTTCATTGAATGAAGTAAATTTTTATTTAACAGTTCTTTTTTTTGATTAAGTTGAGAAATTTTTTTTAAATTATTCAATAATTGTAACATTTTATTTTTAATGCATTTTTTTTTTTTACATTTTACAGTTGTTTAATGCAGGACAGTTAGGCTTTTCAATTGAATATTAGCTTTCCATGTTGTAATGGACAGTTAGAGTTTTAAATTGGCTTGGAAACTTGGTTTTTCATAAGATGTAAAACAGTTACATTTAGATTGAATTAGACAGTTGAGTTTTTATAATAAATTAAATAGATTTTCATATAGCATTGTTTAGTTTTTAAAATATTTTCGCATAAAATAAACATTAAGTAACAATATTATTTAACAAAGTTAGTAATATAACATCACAATAACAAATATTAATAGCAAATGTTATATAAAATTAGTTAAAAGAAGTTTTGTAGGTATTTTAAGTGAAAAGCATAACATACAACAGATGTAAACATAACAGATGTTCACAAGAGATTTTTTGTTTGTTTGCTTAAATGTACAATGAAAGATTTATTTAAGGTTCTATAAATTTTGTGGTTTTATAATGGGAGATATATTTTGTAGCTTATGTGTTTAAAGCTTTTTATACAATGTTATTTTATTCAATGTTTTTTTAAATTATTTTTATGCTTTTGTTTTTTGTTTCTATAACATATAGTTTAAAGAAAGTTTACCATTTCTACTATGAAATATTCTAAAACTAGAAATGATGAGTCAAAGTGAACAATGAAGATTTTTTTTTTATATTTGATTGAATTGTGTTGAATTGAATTATATTAAAAAATTTAAATTTGAATAAAAAAATTGAATTTAAAAATTTGAAAAAAAAATAAAATGTCTTAATAAAATTCTTCTTCTATTCTCAATAAATTGATTTTACTTGATTACAATTAAAATCTTTTACTTAAAAATAAATTTTATTTTCATATTAAAAAATTCTCAATAATTTTCAGATATTTTCCTTTTGTAACTTCATAATTCTGTAAATCATTTTACTTTTTTATACAAAGTTTGTAGTTTGCAGTTCAGCTTACTGTTGCTGTTTTTGTTTGTTTGATTCTTTTGTTTATGTGGGTTGTTATTCTTTTGTTTGATTTTTTTTTTATGCATATTGAATTTTTCTACTTGAACTTATAACTATAAATGTTAAATTAAAGGTTTACTCAAAAAGTGTTCATATAACAAAAAGAACCTGTTAGTTTTTATACTTGAAATTTTTCACATAATTTATTAATTTAGTATAGTATAAATTAACTAAGGCATAATATTTTTGGTTAAAAAAAATATTAAAAATATTATTAATACTAACATGATATATACAATATTTTACTTAATATGTTATTTACTTAATACTTAATACTAAATTTAAAAAATTTCAATTTATTGTAGCAAAACAAAACAAAAAAAAATAGAAAAAACTATTAGGTCATACGTGTGTTGCCATATTTAACATATTGTCATTTAATAATGCTTTTTTTTTATTTCAAAATTAGATTTAAAAATGTATACAAGGCCTAAAATATATTATTTTTGTTTTCTACATTTAAATTTGTTCATAAACAATTGTTACTATGATAAAGAGTATTAACTCAATTAAAATGCCATAGTAAAGAACCTTTGCTCAAACACTATATTGCTTATACCATAGTATTGTCAAATTTATTAGATATGGTCAACATACAAATGTCAAAGTTTACTTAGATATAAGTGTAACATGACTGAATGTTTGTTGATTCGCAAAATGGGTTCAAATTATGTCGGTTTTAATTTTTTATTTAGTTAAATTGCTAGTTTTTTGAAATCTCTGTCTAAAAGTTTGTTCACATAAAGTTGTTCATAATTGGCACTCAAGTCTTTGATTAGCTTGGTTGTTCTTTTTATGACCAAAACTACAAGTTCATTTTATAATTATTATAACAATTTAGATATGTCTTCATCATAAGTTATGTTCAGATTTTATCTTAATTATCTAATATCTCCATTATGAAATATTTAATATTCTCCATTATGAAATATTTAATATTGTTTAAAACATGAATTGTCTGATCATAGTTAATAATATACCAGAAATATATTAGGTTAATTTTTTTTTTTATTATGGTATTTTTTAAATATTACTAAAAATCACTTAATTTCTTTTTTAATAGTCAATTATTGTATTTTTTTAAATTTTCATAAAAAAACTTGAAATCTTTTTTTTTTAATAGTTATTTAAAAGTTTATAATATTTTATAAAGTTTATAATATTTTATGTTTTATAGTTACTTCTCATACTCTAGAAAACATAGTGAAAAGTTTGTTGTTTGTTTCATATCAGCTTTTTATAATCAGCTGGCTTGATTTATTCTTTAGATTTGTTAGATAAGGTAAAATATAAGAATAGAAAGAATGTTTACAGTAAACACATAGAAATACAATTTTATCTGGCCCTAAAAGGAACTATAAAAAAAACCCTAAAAATAATTTTTTTTTGTTAATTATGGTATTTAACGACTCGATCAGTTTTTTGAACAATGTTTGCAACCAAAATAAAAGACAGCAAAAAATGTTTTGGCTCAAAGGTGGGTTTCAAAATGGTATTTTTATTATGCATAGTATAACTATGTATGGTTTAGTTGCTTTTGTAAAATAATACTATTACAATACTTGTGGTTGTAAATGTTAGGTTTACAATATTGTTATGATTACAATCTATTGTTGTTTTTGATATTAATTTTTTGCTTTATAAATTTTAGGTGATCAAGCTCCTCAGACATCTGCATCAGAAAGAGTAAAGTTTATCTTAGGGTACAGTGAAAAAGAAGATGGAAAACCTCATGAGAACCCTCAACTTTTTACAGAGCTTGAAGAGTTATTTGTTTATGTTGATGGCAATGAAGAATGGAAAGAAACAGCACGATGGTTAGTTTTTTAAAATTATTATTCAATATATAATTATTTTTTTGTAAGGAACAATAAGTGCCTTAAATCAAACCTAATAATTTCTTTTCTTTGTCTCAGTCCCAGTTATATATCAACATCAGTCCGGGGTAGCATTTTATCTAACTTTGTTATTTTTAAAAAAGGTTTAAATATGAAGAAGATGTAGAAGAAAGTGGAGATAGATGGAGCAAGCCACGCGTTGCAGCTATTTCACTTTACAGCTTACTAGAGCTTAGGAGTTCTTTAATGGCTGGTACAGTAATTCTTGACATGGATGCAAGTACACTACCAGATATAACTAGTGAGCTGCATTACTTATATAAATAAAAAAATTTTTTTAGGAATGTTTTATTACCTTTTTGTCAGTTTTTTGGGTATTGTCTTTTTTAGACTGCTTTTCTAGGGTTAATTTAAAAACCACATTGTAATTGTACCACAGAATGATTCAATTGTGATTGTAACTTGAGTCTATTGTTAACACTTTTAACACTATGCATCATTTAAACATAATATTAGTAAAAATAATCAGTTATTATCTAATAAAATATTATCAAATATTCTTCATCAAATAATTAAATTAATGTGCCACAGAATGGTTCAATTGTTGGATAAATAATAGTACCACAATAGTAATAATAGTTCAATAGTACCACAGAATGTTGCAATGGTTGCAACTTGAGTCTGTTGTTAACACTTTAACACTATGCATCATTTAGATATATAATATTAGTGAAAATAATCATTTGTTACCTATATCAAATATTATCAAATATTTAATATCTTCATCTTGTCTTTATTAATCAAAAAATATTATCTATGTATTATTATTATGTAATAAATTATTATTAGGTAATAAGTTATTTTTATGCATTATATTAGCGAAGTATTAGAACAAAGTTGATAAATTTTTTTTTAAAGCTGTACTTAAGAAAATATTTAGATTTTTACAAAACCATCAACAGAATTTACCTAAATATAACTTTCTTAATATTAAATTATAATTAAAAGGTTTTTAATTATAAGATTATTAATTATATAGCCTTATTTTGTCGTTAATATTAAATAATAATTAAAAGGTTTTTAATTATAAAATTATTAATTATATAGCCTTATTTTGTTGTTAATATTAAATAATAATTAAAAGGTTTTTAATTATAAGATTATTAATTATACTAATGTCGTTAATGTCATATTCATAAAAAGCTTTAAAATACGTTCATAGAACAAAGAGAGTAAAATTTTGTCAACACACAGTTACACTACTATTGTTTATTGATTTACTATTTGTTTATTGATTTTATTTTAACAAACATAGTAGATTTCTTATTTTTGTACTAGTAAATTTTACTTGTTATTTTTTTGTTGTTGTTGTTAAATTTATTATTTTAAACCTAAAATTATGAGTCTAATTTACTTGGCACTTTTTGTTTGCAAAAATTGATATATAAATTAAAAAAAAGGATCCAAATTCAACAGCATTTTTTTTTTTCTTGTTGTGCTATTTGGTTTTTGTTGTTTAAGATTTGAAACTTTTTTAGGCAACCTTCTAAGCAATCTTGTGGCAAACAACAAACTTGATGAATGCGTTAAAGATAAAGTTCAAGAAACACTTCTTCGAAAACACCATCATCACAAAGGCAACAGTTTTCGAAGAAATCTCAGTAATATTATAAGTAGGCGATCATCGCGACCAATACATAGTAACATATCATTATCTAGCAAGTTAAATCTTTATGCAAATTTACCTTCTGCGCAGTTGAAAATGCAGCATTTTGATAGTCACTCTGATGTATCTTCAGTTCAGATAAAAACATGTCATGATAATGACACATGTAAAGAGTTTTCTTTAACAGAAACTCAATATCATAAAAAAAGCTATCCAAGTTTAACGCATACAACAACTGAATCAAGTTTTATATCAGTTTGTAATCAAAGGGTCTCAATACAGGGTCATCTTGTTTATCCTTCCCCAGGAAATGACTCTGATGCAGATGCAAATGAGAAAGTGAGTATAAATTATGATAGCATAATAAAATTGTCTAATGAAAGCATTAAGTTTAGTTGGTGAAAATAACCATACCTCGTGTATGGTTCAAAAATAAATTTAAATCATAAATTTTTTTAACTATAAAAGTCTCTTTAGCTTACTAAGCAAAAATTATTTTATTTTTGATGTTTTATTTTTTTTAAGCCATCTCGATTGAAGAATTTGCTTTCACCTAATGCAGAAGCATCCAGCATTTTAGTTGGTGAAGTTGATTACTTATTACAACCTGTCACAGCGTTTATTCGCCTTCATAATAGCTCACTGATTAGAGATCTTACAGAAGTTTCAATTCCTACTAGATTTTTGTTTATTATGTTAGGACCACGACTAAGCTATGGGAATTACCATGAAATTGGACGTGCAATATCCACATTGATGTCAAATGATGTAATAAGAATTGTTTTTTATTTCTTTATAGTTTTGTTTTTTTATTATTATTTAAAAAAAAAGGTAACTATTTTTTAATGATTAAATTATCAAATAATTATTCATTAAGTTATAATTTTTAAAATAATTTTTTTATAGAAATTTTAAAATTAAGTTTTAGGAAAGTTCCTTCACCCCTTTCATCATCCTCGGTTTCACCCCCTTCATTATCTTTGGTTTCAAATCCTAGTTTTTATCAAATATACCAACATTTTGTAAGATCACAAGGTGAGTGTTAAGAGCGAAGAAAAAGATTATCTTTTTTTTTTTGCTAATCTTAGATTTTCCATGATGTGGCGTACAAAGCAAAATCTAAAGAAGATCTTATTACAGGAATTGATGCATTTTTAGAACAGGTTTCTTATTTTTTTTAAATAGTTTTGTATAAATAAGGTTTTGTTTTGTTATTTCAGTGTATAAAAAACTACTATGTTGTTGTATTACTGTCATCTGGTCTCAAAGTTTTTTTTTCCTTGTTGTTCTAGTTAAAATTAAACTAATCCAGATTTTAATTAAAACAAACAATTAAAAATGTTTATAAATTAAGTTTGATCCCCCGTTAATACTGTGCTCAACTTGTTTCTCCACGCAGCGGCCTTGTTTGTCAAGGCTCGTGTTTTGGAGTTATAGAGTTGAGAGTGTTGTAACCACTAAAGTAGCCTCAACTGTAATGGCCTTGGCCTTGGGGAGGTGAATAATTAAAAAAAGTCTTCTTAGTTGGTATAGAGTGTATTTAAATTTAATTGCAAAAAAAAAAAAAAGATTTATAAGAGAAACTTTTTAATTAACTTGAATCAATAAACATTAGGTTACTGTTATTCCACCTGGTAATTGGGATATATCAGTCAGAATTGAACCTCAATTAAACAATCAACACAAGGAATCTAAGCGGTTGTTATCAGAATCCAACAAAGCAGAAATTTCCATTGATCAACTTGGAAGCGTTGGTTCTACTTCCTTAGCATCTGACTTAGCAACAGAAGAAAATAGTAGCTCTAACACAGGAAAGCACTCAGTTATTGGAAAACAGTGTAGTGGATTGGTATCTGATTTGTGTGCAAGGAAAAAGCGTACAAATGATATTAAAGATGGTTTAAACATAAAATGTGTTGCTGCTTCAATAAATATTTACTTGCTTCTATTAGCTTTTATAGCAACAGTTGGAGATCACGAAAAAAAAACTACTAATAATTTCATAGTAATTGCTTTTATTTATTAATTTTTAAAAAAAATATTGTTTTCATAATTTTTTTATATTCTATAATAATTTTGATATCATTTCAAATTTTTTAAATCCATTAGATGATTGCTAAAATCTTTTGTTGAAGTAGTATATCATTTTATTTTTTATTTAAGGGTGTGCGTGAACATTTGTTATCATTTGGTATTAATGGCCTGTTATTTGCTTTGTTTGGTGGTCAGCCTATGTTGGTTATGTGCTATACTCTCCCCATCATGGTATTTGATAAGCTTTTATTCTTAGTTTCTCAAGATTTGGACTTTGAGTTCTTATCTTTAAGACTATGGGTTGGCATATGGACAGCTATTTTCTTAATAGGTTGTGTTATTCTCAACGTTTCTACTTGTATTCAATACTTGACACAGTTTACATTAGACATTTTTGCTGTTGTGCAACCTCTGGTTTTACTGGGGTATGCTGCATATTATATAAGCATCATGGTTATAGATGTATCTAATAGTCCTGGTATGTTTGTTAATCAAAGTTGTTTTTGCTTACACAACTTCTCAGACTCTAATGTTATAAATCTTTTTATAAATAAAACTGAAATTATGGATAATATACACTTTCGTGATTGCGTTGGCAATGGTATGAAACTAATCGGGAATGCTTGCAATCATGGTGTTTCTTCGCTAACTTTGCTTGTGCTTGTTGTATCCATTTTTTTAGTCCTTATTTTGGCATCTTTTCAGCATTTTGGCTGCTTTCCTAAATTGGTATTATTTTTGTTTAGTTTTTATATTTTTGTTTTTTGTTATATTTGTTGATTTATGTAAAAATCAAATAATATTGATAATAAAAAGTTGTGAAAAATTATTTTTTAATATTTTTTATTGACAGAAAAATATTATTCATGTTTTTTTATTTTTCTCTTTTACTTTAAGATTTTTTTTGTCTATATAGAATGACAAAAAGATAAATATTTTTAAAATTTTTTGAAAAATGGCTACAAAAATTTTTTTTGATATTGATACTATTAAAAGCCAATAACAGAAATAGTTTACATTAATAACAGAAATAGTTTACATTAAGGAAATTTACCAGTAAATTTTAAGTAAGTTATTAAAATTAGTTAACTTGATTGAAATAAATTAGTTAAAACAATTATTAGTTAGAAAAATTAAAGTTAATATTAATTAGTCATATTTCTGTTCAATTAGCCCCTTTAATATACAAAGAGAAAAAATATGTAATAATTTTTATTTTTTTATTTTTGTCTACTAACTAAGGATGTACCAAAATTCTGGCTGGAATTTGTGTCTTTTAGATCTTTTCGCTTCTGACTGGAGTTAAAAAAATTTTTTCTTTTTTTTTTTCTTCTGACATGTGACACAGGCTGTGTAATTAAATCAAAAAATCATTATCCTACACAGCAATGAAGAGCTATTGGTAAACCTAGGCAAAAAATACAAATGTAATTTTATTTGCAGAAATAGTAGTACTGCTAATACATTGTCATGTCATTAAAAAAAAATTTAAAAAAAATTTTAATTCCAGCCAGAAGCGAATTGATCTAAAAGACACAAAATCCGGCTGGAATTCTGTTACATGCCTACTACTAATTTTGAAATAAAATTTGTGGCCAAATTAACTTATTTCGGACAAACACTGTCTGTTGAAAATAAATTTTAAAGCTAATTTAGATGTCATATAGATATTATTAGGTTACAATAATATTGTGTTATGTTTCAACAAAAAATAAATTACAAATCATTATCATGCAAGAAAAAAAGTTTTTTTGCTCTTTATTGATTTTGGAAAACTTAGATGTATGATTCATTGTATATCAAATTCTCTGTGCCTAACCACTATAATAACTGAATCAAAAATGTTTTTGTTTGCAATTGTGTGCAGTGAGAATTTCTCCAGGTGGTGCTGCATTATAATATATAATTGGATTACATTAAAAAGTAATCCAATTATATATTATACCTCATTATGCCATATTTTCTGAACTCAGAAACTAAATTTGTATAAAAAATTATATTTTTATTTTATCCACATATTTTACAAGTATGACTTTTTCAGCAATAAAGAATGTCTTTTTTATTAGTGAAGCCATTCTTTGAACTGGCTGTACTCTTTGAAGTTATCTAATTTTAATAGGCTTTTCATTTTAACAAAGCGCACCATCTAGTTTTTGGTATGAGTTTATCGAGAAGTTAAATGAGAATTTATTGGAAAGCAAAATCAATACTATTGTCAAATTGTAAATATTGTTAATTCATGTTCATTATTTTTTGGTAAAGTTACAATTAAAGTTGATTAAAATAGATGCACTTACTACTGTAAACATGTTCTAACCTTCTATAGGAAAATGTCACTGAACGATGAACCATGAATTAAAATTTTGGTTTAATTTGATGAAGAAAAATTGGATGTGATGAAAATGGGTTTAGGCTTGTGTATTCTTTTTGGAACTCTGTAGAAATCCCAATAAAAATAGATTTATTAGTGATTGGGAATTTGGCATTGTCATATACTTGATTGATCAAAATATTTCATAGTCAACTTTTAAAATATTTCATATATTTCATAGAATATTGTATTCTATATGGTGTTTGTAATGTAAACATAATCTGGATTAAGCAAATATAATAATCTAAGTTTATTCAATGTTTTTGTCCAAAGTACCCACTTGCTTTTTGCAAATTGAGTTTACCTGATTTTTTTATTTTTATTTACTTAGTATTTATATTTATTAATTTTTTCACTATTTGATTTGCAGATTCACAGATTTCTTCACGATTTTTCATCCCTGATCACTGTTTTTGTGGCATCAATGTTTGTAAATCAGTTTTCAGTTAATATTTTGTATATGCAAGTACCAAAGCATTTTCACCCTGAAGGTGCTAGAACATCTTGGGTTGTACCCTTTTTTGGTTCAAATCAGATTTGGAGCATATGTGTGGCTATTATTCCAGCAATATTTTTCACAATCTTGCTATTTAGTGAGCACCAGCTTGCTAGCTACTATGTACAGAAACAATTTATGCTAAAGGTAATTCAACATTTGAATTTGAAATAAACAAACATTACTTAAAGGAATATACAAGTGTTAAGACAAGTTGTGGCTAAATATAATATATTCTTACGCAGACAAATAATATGGAATTTATTAAGATGTGAAAGTATGCTAACTTTTTAATATAAAAATCTATGTAAAGATTTATACAATTGTTAAAAACAAGTTGCGTTGCGTTATGTTAAACACAAGTTAAGTTTACTAAAATCTCAAAACCAAATATAATATTTTATTTTTAAATGTATCACAAAAAATTTTTGGAATTAACTTAAAAGTAATGCAAAAAAAAAAAATCTTAAAAATGATGTCGTATACTGAAACTGTTATGAACTAAACGCACATGAAATAAATTATGCAGTTTGCAGATTGTGGCATATATTAAAAAGAATCCAAGAACCAAGAAAAAATTGAGAAAGCAAACTTCAACTAAAATGACAAATTTAGTTTTGTTGATAGACGTTATTTAGTTTTAATCAAGAAAATCAGCCCAAAACTTTTTTTAAATATTTTCTTTTATATGAATACAACTTGTCTCAGCACATGGGAATCCTTTAAGATAATTCTTCAACATTTTGACTTACAAATTTGCTGTGGTGTATTAACACCACAACAAATTTGTAAGTATAGTATTGTAAATATGTTGTAAATAAATATGCTGTCAGCATTATAAATATGTTGTGGTGTTAACACCACAACATATTTATTGTGGTGTTAACTTTACAAGATATTTATTGTGGTGTTAACATCACAATAAAAATTCTGTCAGTATTAATACCACAACAAATATCGTTAAATTTAATTTTGTAGAAGAGTTGTGGCTATCATCTTGATCTTCTTGTTGTAGTTTTTGGTGTTCTTTTATCTTCTATTCTTGGCTTACCTTTTACAGTGACATCTGTTATATTATCTGTCAATAAGATCAGATCATTAATTGTGATAAAACCATCATTAGATCATTATGGAGGTTGTAAGGAAATCAGGTTTGTTGTTCTGTTTATTTTAAGTTGCTTTCTTTATGAATCTATTGTTAAAATTTTACTATAGTTAATAATTTTAAAATCATTTATTAAATCTATTGTAATTAGTTTAATGTTTTTATTGGTTAAAAATTTTTCTTTAGTTTGTTGATTTACAAGGTGTTTATTAGTATTAATTAAATTTGTTTTAACTAGTTTTAGTTTTAAAAATTTACTACAGTTCTTAATTTATAAATCATTATTTTTTTTAATTTTACTTATAAATTTTATACTTTATTGTATTTACTGGTTAAAACTATATTTCTTAGATTTTTTAATATTGTTTTTAAATTATATAATATAATTTTTATTAGTTTTTAGTTAATTTTTTTAATTTTTGTTGATTTTTTAAAATTAAAATTTGTTAACACTATTATGAATCAAAGGCGCTAACAAATAATGAATAAAAATATTTTGACATGAATTTATATATTTTAAATGCATTGTTATAGAACTAAAATTCAGTTGCAGTGAAATAACATTTACATATATTAGTCAAATGTGTTATATTACACAATTGAAACTTTAGAATTACATATATTGTAAAATTCTTTTCAAAAATAAATA